TGATCAGTTCTACACTGAGCTATCCTCCGTGATACGGTCTGTGCCGAGGAGCGACCGACTATTTCTGCTGGGTGATTTCAACGCGCGCGTTGGGCGTGATGCATCAGCGTGGACAGATGTTATCGGTGCGCATGGCATTGGTTCAGCGAATGCGAACGGTGACAGGCTGCTCTCACTGTGTGCCACTCACGGCCTGACGATCACGAACACTCGGTTTGCACTGAGTGCGAGTGATATAGCAACTTGGACGCACCCACGGAGTGGTCACGCTCACCTGATAGACTATATCATCGTACGTCAGCGTGATTTGCGTGAGCTGCGCATGACACGGGTACTGCGCGGAACTGCGTGTGGCACTGCTCACAAATTGGTTCGGACCAAACTGTACATATATTTTCGTAAATCGATGTATTGCACCCCCGCCGTGAATCGGCGTAAATTTAACATTCTCTCCCTCGGCACTGTGGCGAAACGTGCTGAGCTGGAGAAGGCGATGGCTGCACGCCTGTGTGGTGATGTGGACTGTATAGCCACAGTGGGCGACCTGTGGCACCACATTCGCGACCAGGTGACAGCTGCTGCGGAGGAGACCATCGGGCGCGCAAACTGTAAGCGGCCTGATTGGTTTGATGACAACAATGTGACGATTGACGCATTGGTGTCAGAGAAGAATGCAGCATTTGCTGCACATGTTGCAGACCCCAGTGACTTGGGGAAGAGTAGTCAGTTTCGCAAATTTCGACGGCGACTGACCCGAGAGCTCCGTCGCATTAAAAATGCATGGTGGACGGAGAAGGCGAAGCAGATGGAATGCTACGCGGAACGCCGTCAACACAAGGAATTCTTTGACTCCTTGAAGGCGGTGTATGGACCGAGATTGGAGCCGCTGAGGACACTGATCGATGGTAGTTCGGGCGCTACCTGCTCCCAGACTGCAGACATAATGCAGGTCTGGCGGAAACACTTTGACTGTCTCTTGAACAACCGTTCAGAGATCGACTGGCCTACATTGAATGGCCTGAAGCAGCACGATGTGAAGGCGGATCTGGCAGATACGCCGAGACTGGATGAGACGCAGAGAGCACTTGCTCAGCTGCGAAACGGCAAATGTGCCGGAGGTGACGGGATCCCACCTGAAGTATTGAAACACGGTGGACCCGCGTTGTTGACTGCGCTGCACCACTTGGTGCAACGCGTGTGGATTGAGGAGGAAGTGCCTTCTGAGCTGAAGGATGCCCTTGTGCTACCACTGTACAAGGGCAAAGGTAGCAAGCAATGTTGCACGAATTATCGTGGCATCAACTTGCTGAGTTGTGTGGGCAAGGTGATTGCCCGAATCCTGCTCAATCGCCTCGTGAGTCAGATTGTGGAACCTCACGTGGCGGAAGAGCAATGTGGATTCCGTTCGGGTCGCAGCACTATAGATATGGTGTTTGCGGCTCGTCAGTTGCAAGAGAAGTGCAGAGAACGACACCAGCCTTTGTACTCGCTTTTTGTTGATTTCACCAAGGCATTTGATACGGTGAACCGCGAGGCACTGTGGCTGGTGTTGGGTAAGTTTGGTTGCCCGCGTAAGTTTGTAAGTTTAATTGAATGTCTGCACAGTGGTATGCGAGCGAGGGTGCAGCTGAGTGGAGAGACCTCTGATGACTTTCCAGTTGTCTCTGGTGTGAAGCAAGGCTGTGTGTTAGCTCCTGCCCTGTTTAATATCTATCTTCATGCAATGTTGTCTTGTGCTTTTGATGCGGCTTGTGTTTACGGTGTTCGTGTGGAGCACCGTATTGATGGTGGGTTGCTGAACATCCGTCGTTTCGGTGCGAGAACTCTAGTCTGTGAGACAACTATCCGTATGTTGCTGTTTGCTGACGACTGTGCGTTGTTTTCACACAACGCGGATGAGTTGCAGCACATGACTAGTGCTCTGGCTTCGACAGCGGCCAAATTCGGGCTCACCATCAACACAAGCAAAACTGTCTGTCTGTTTCAGCTTTCACCGGAGGTGCAATCTTCAATATTGCCGCAAATCAGCATTGGTGCTGAAGTATTGGAAACCACCTCCCGCTTCTGCTACCTTGGAAGTGTGATGTCGACTGATCAGCAGCTACACATTGAGTTGCGTAATCGCGTGTCGAAGGCGGCAGCGGCATTCGGGAAGCTAGAGTACCGAGTGTGGAACAACCATCAGCTTAGCATTGGCACGAAGCTGATGGTGTACAAATCCATGGTACTGTCCGTTCTTCTATACGGCAGTGAAACGTGGACCATGTACCGTCGGGATGTGCGATATCTCGAGCGGTTCCATCAGCAGTGTGTGCGACGAATTCTGCGGATCGGCTGGGGCGCCCGTGTTGCAGACACGGAAGTGTTGCGCCGAAGTGGGATGTATGCAGTGGACTGCATACTTTTACTGCGCCACCTAAGATGGCTCGGTCATGTGAGCCGTATGGATTCGACGCGAATACCGAAACAACTTTTATACGGTCAGCTGAGTATAGGGAAGCGGCATGCTGGGAAACCCAAGTTACGTTACCAGGACATGATTAAAGTGAGCCTCACACGTTCTAATCTTGATTGCAGATCATGGGAATCGAAGGCGGTTGATCGGCGTGCATGGCGCGATCTAATCACGAAGGCAGTTGCTGAGGTGCGGGAGAAAGCCCTCATGCATGCAGAGAAGAAGCGGCAAGTGCGGAAGCGGCAAGCACCGATGAATTGTACTCCATCGACATCGAGCGCATTGTGTTGTAGAACATGCGGTCGCGAGTGCCTTAGTCAGGCAGGCCTAGTGAGCCATGAGAGAGGTCACTCGGGACCACTGCCGAAGCGACGACGGGTCCCGCAGTGAACGTAGGCAGCACCGGCGCAGCGTTTGTAGGCACGCTGAATTCGATTTACTAACCGCGTGCTTGCATGCTAAGTCTCTTTATTTCAGGTGGTGGGTTTTCGGTTCTCTCCTAATGCCTTTCTTTCTCATATAAATGTCTAGTGGGCCATGAGCTAGGTCCTTTGGGGCCACTACAGAAGCGACGATGGGTCCTGCAGAGAATTACGACGAGCCGGCGCAGCGTTTGTAGGCACGCTGATTTCGATTTACTAACCGCGTGCTTGCATGCTAAGTCTCTTTATTTCAGGTGGTGGGTTTACAGTTTTTACCTTAATGCTTTTCTTTCTTATATAAATATCTCCATGTACTCTATTCCATTAACTTGCACATATCGCTTTAGCCAGTTGTATTCGATTTCCGTAAAATTTTTGTGTTCGTGGCATACCGTGAACTATATTTCCTGACTTCGTGCACTTAGCTGGGATGTGTTTGTAAACAACTTATTACGTATGCTATTTAATTAAGGTTTATGTCACCGTTTCCTTATGCATTAATCCAGTTTTTCTCTTTTTCTTTCTCTCTCTCTCAAGTGATTGGCTGTTGTTTGATATCCCCGGTGTGGCTGCGCTTGATGTGCATGTTGACAAGGTGCCTACCTGTCTATTACCCACTACCTCGTCCATACTGGCTCCAGGAGACAGTTGGTCGTTGCTGGAGGGGACGGGGTGCACGGTTCTTGTGGCCGTGTTAGGCTCGAAGAGTGGTTCCATGCACTCAGTATGGAGCGGACTACGGTCCAGCCACCGCCTTGTGTGCGGTTGATTCCCCAAATACAGCGTGCTTGTGTTTGCCTGTGAAGGAGTGTGGGCCGGCTCCGTTGATGAAACGTGGTTCCCATCCACATGCCTCCCGGTCTTATTCCTTCGGGTTTACACTGGATATGGGGTGTGTGGTTGGAGCTGTGGGTGGTGCAGCGCAAGCCATCCATGGTCCCTCTGTAGGCGCAGGCGTCCTGTGGCTTGCCACAGTGACAGGCAAATCCGAAACCGGATGCCGCCAACCATGTATTTCCTTTATGTATTGCGGTACAATAGCGGAGGTGTTTTACCATCTCTAGCTGACATGTATAATGATGATGATGATGATGATGATGCCAGCCTTGGAACGCCCTCCCTAATTATGTCGTCTCTGCTCCCAAGCTGGCGATAGTTAAAAAACGTGCTGACGATGCATTGTCTCACTTACATTTCATTTTATGACTTGTTAGGCAGGGGCTACAAAACGCAATCAAACGGTGTTTTACCAAACGCCTAACCAATGGGCTTATTGATTTATACTTTTAATAAGCGAACATCTCCGCCATTCCAAATAAGTATATGGTAAGTTCGCCAAAACGCTTTGCATTTTATCATGCAATTGATTTTCGAAGTAATTTCTATCTCACGGGACTTGTTAAACAACGCTTTTTTACCCGTAATAAACCATTGTTCCATTGTTCCTACGCGGATTCGAACCGGTGACCTTATGATTGCAAGCCGGGCTTGCAGATCACTCGGCCAGCGGCCGACAGGCAGGTAGACCGTAGTCACCCACCGTGGGTCGGCGGGATCATGAGTATGATGATTGTAATTAAGCACCCGAGTTGGATGTGGTGGTTACCCGTAATACTCACTCAGAAGTAAACCACGATGAATGTTAGGCTACAAATGGTGAATTGAACAGCTTACCTGATTATCTTCCAAAGCTTGGAACACCTCATCTGTGGAACGGATCTTGTAGGTGTTTTTCTCCTTATGCGGAATAATGTCGAGCTCGTTGTTTTGCCAGAACCTTTCCATATTATCTAACGCGTGTTCAATGGCCAGTTCCTTGGTGGCGGCGCCAGAAATTTCATGGACGATGTCAGAGTATTGTTCGAAACCGAGCTGTATAATGCGCTCCAGGGTGAACTCCTGCGAGCTCTCGTCGAACTGCTTGCTCATCTCTGTTTTCAACTGCGCCCAATGACGTTGTCGCATGGCCGGATTGCGAAGGCTGACAATCAACGGCATTGTTCTGCGAAATTGGTCCACTCTGGCCTTACTGCTTTCGACGACTTCCCAATTGCGATCCTAAGTGGTGTAATAAAAGGAAAAACGATCAGAAGCACATTTAGGCTAGTACCTTCAGGTGGAATGATATTGTGTCACCCACAATTGCTCCAACTCAGCCCGGCAAACAAGACACCAAGAGGTGAAGAAACAAGGTTCTATTCAACAGAACGTGGCAATGTTACATAGCAGAGGAGCAGCTGTCATAATAAACCAAGGCAAAGAGACCACCGGACTGAGCTGCCAAATAAGAGCGCAGTCACATGAAATCCCAATTAGCTACACTCAACGAAGAGTACTTGATAGCGTCACTCTCAGAGGGAAACTATGGCAAGCCACCAGAATCAGCGACTGTTAACGGCTAATAAAGGCTACCAGAAATGATGCGCTAAAACAAACGTCAAGAGATACACGCAACAGAAATGAAAGACTGGAGTTGCAAACTGTCCCACAAAAGGCGTCTCAATTAGGCGTTTCCATTAACAAATGGTGCGGATGAAAGGGGTACAATACGTTCCGAGTTCGTGGTGCACAATGCCATACACTAGCTACTCTGAAGTTGCCGGGTATATACGGCGGAGTTACTCCAGGGTCAAACAAAAATGTCACTGTTACCAATGCCACAAAGTAAGGTACTTGGTCTGTGTGGTCGACGATCATACTTACTTTCACATTTTAACCTAAAGCTCGGGAGGTTACCCTTTGAGGCAGAAGGTTGCGGATTCACATCACTGCGTTTACCACTTGCAAGTCAGTCTTGAATTGTTCGTTGAGCGATGCTAGCACTTCGATGAGTTGGAGAAGGAGGTTACTGAGTTTAAGCTGACGTCCATATTTGTGAACTGCCCCGCATAATGATTATTTAATCTGTTTGGTAAATGCCAACGGTATTCGATTCCGTCTTGGGTCAGGAATAGGTCCCAGGAGAGAAGCTCCACTAACGGGTCACAAACGGATGTTGTCGCTTACAACGGTCATCGGGCACTCGAATGAAGTGTACAACTTTGAACGGTGGATTGGCTATGTCACGCATACATAGCGAATAATAAATGAAACTTGAGTACGGTGCTGAGGTTGTTGTGTCCGCCGTCCTCGGAGTAAGTTGGTCACCTTAAGTAGCAGACAATCTCTGTACCTGCCATCACGATACTGAGAGGTGCAAAGTTTCACAAGATACTTAAACATTTATTTCACTGACCAAGCAGGACTGATCTTCAAAGGGTGTTTTAGAGGGTAATGGCTCAGTTTAATGAAAACTGTGACTGTCTTACCCGGCCCATCTAGTGGAATTAGCCAAAATTAGATGAGCTTCTTAGGGCCGGTAGTGCTTCGAAGCCAGAGACATGTCCGAAGCAAACTACAGTACCGTGGAAAATTGTTACTCTGGCATGAAAGTCGTGTTTCTGGGATCCGACTTTAACTCTCCAGGACAGCAATATGTATGATGGTGTGTGATGCATCGTAATACGTTGCAGTGGTCTCGCTTGTCATCCCATTATCCGATGGTATTGGCGGCCTTCTCGCAATTGTAACGTCATAGTTTTTATATCCTGTTGTGTCAAATGGATGAATTTATATTACCGATGCATCCCCGTAAGGACGAAAGATCAGCCGTATTAATTAGGTTCGGTACTGCTGAGATGGTATAACAGTAACGAACTTCAACAAGACGAAGTGTTCCGGTGAATCAGTGAATATATGTACTTATGTTGGAATGGGTCCTCCGCGTTACCATGTTTTAATCCCATAGAAAAGATGTAATATGAAACATACCGGCCATACCGGCCAATTAAACACTGAGGTCCGGTAAGTAGTTGCGCATTCGAGACGGCATCAAGACACTAAGTAACAGCCATTCGTCGGATGGATGACACCATATTCCGATGATAAAGAATTTGGTGGTACTGCGTGTTTTCAAAAACCTCTCGCTTTCTGCCACTGTAAACAGATATGATCAAATGTTTAACAGTGCACGTGCGGCCCTTACTGAGGCTGATGTTGCTTTCTGGATACTTCTTCACCGCAGTTGGGATAAACCAATTTACGCTGGATAAATTTCATTCCATTTTATTTGGTTTGTTCTGCCTACCTTAAAATTCTTCTATTAACTTGCACGCGTCGTTTACGCTAACCGTGGTTAACTTCGTTACCTTTATCGGCTTTTTAGCATTTATTGAATAACTTGTGGACATTTTGTATTTATCGCGGATTCGTTGCTGACAAATTTACTTCATATGCTAATTTAGCAAAGAGTTGTCACCGTATCTGTATGCATTGTTGGATTTATTTTATCTTGTTGTTTCAAGTGATTGGCTGTTGTTTGAGATCCCCGGTGTGGCTGCGCTTGATGTGCATGTTGACAAGGTGCCTACCTGTCTAGTACCCACTACCTCGTCCATATTGGCTCCAGGAGACAGTTGGTCGTTGCTGGAGGGGACGGAATGCACGGTCCTCGTGGCCGTGCTAGGCTCGAAGAGCGGTTCCATGCACTCAGTGTGGAGCGGACTACGGTCCAGCCACCGCTTTGTGTGCGCTTGATTCTCTAATACAGCGTGCTTTTTTGTGTGAAGGAGTGTGGTCCGGCTCCGTTGATGAAAAGTGGCTCCCATCCACCTGCCTCCCGGTCTTATTCCCTCGGGTTTACACTGGATATGGGGTGTGTGGTTGGAGCTGTGGGTGGTGCAGCGCAAGCCATCCATGGTCCCTCTGTAGGCGAGGGCGTCCTGTGGCTGGCCACAGTGACAGGCAAATCCGAAACTGGATGCCGCCAACCATGATCGTGGGTGAACTCGCCACTCTCCGAGCTCCTGTTGGTGTTTTGGGATGAAGCTAACTGTGTTTGGCCCGATTGACTGAAACTTGGCAGTGAGTTTGCTTAGTTCGGCTTTGCCAACCGGATGGAGTGATGTCATTATAAGGGTGTTGTTTAAAGCTTAATAACAAAACATTCCTGTTTTGCACATCATGAGCCGACTTTGTACGCATTAATCTCACAGCGTATCATCAGAATACCCACCCCCCTCTAGTGTAGAATGAACTCAACTTTGTCAAAAATGTGCTATAGCGGTCTGGAGATCAAAGTGCACGTTCACAATGCTGAAGTGGAGACTGTGGGCATCATAAGCGACGGGCGCAGTTACTCTCGGAATCGGTCTGTGCAGAGGACAGGTCAAGACGAGAGCAAAGCGAAAGTTCCAACTCCACTTCACATCTAACTGTAATCAAACTAAATTTCATGATCGAAGACGGCGTACACACGACCAGCAGTCAAGACACAAGCAGTACAGCGAATCCGTCACACATATGGGAGCATACAAATGAAATTGCGGTACACAGAAGCAGATATTTTCCAAACTGGGACGTATTTACATTCGGAACCACTGCCTTTTTTGGTCAAGTAATTCCACGGTATACAAGATAATTTAATGAACAATGCTTTATCAGGGGTTAAAAGCAAGTGATTGATACGTCCCGTAGTATGGTTGCAGTGAATACGATGAAATCGAGATCTATGGGTCAACTACTAAGCACCTACCGAGATGAAAGCGTTGATAAATAGCGTCAGTGCAAACTAACAATCAAGTGAAGCATGCAGAACTACACGGGGTGCAGTAGTCTTTGATGTAAAGCGTAGGCAAAGTAAAAGATGGTCCTTCATTTATGCGCCATCTTCTTGGATCCATGTGCCACATAAATCTTGTAGAAGAGAATGATAGGCGTAATCCAAAATGGCGTAATTTAGTTAACAAGTGCTGAAAGCAAAGGGTAAGATCCAATCGTTAGTTGAAGAAGTCCAAACTAGAGGAGGATCAACTGAGTCTGAGAATGCTTTCCAGGGTTGGCAAACCCGAAGGGAAAACTAATTACGTCGACACTAGACGGCTATATGGTTCCTTCAATTTCAAGCAGTTATCCCTGAGCTACGTGTTGTGTCTAAATTTCAGCAAATAGTGACATAGATGGTTGGGGTCACTCAGTATGTGGCACACTATTATGAGATTTCCGCGCAGCATTCTGTAGCGTCCGCTGAAAACTCCTAGCAACTTCAACCTTCGGGGATAAGCGTGATACCGCGGGCCCTTGATACTCCGTTTTACTCTTCGTTGTGGTGCATCTAATGCCTCTAGGTCGCGATTAAATCATGGTTGCCAAAGTTGGATAGAGTATTCAATGTGTAAGCGCACGTAGAAATTGTGCATCATGGGGAACATTGATGGGTCAAATTTCCCGAATGCCCTTCGCAGCATACCGACGTGCTAGTTGCCTCTTTCCTCAGCTACCTCGGGCCTATTTTGAACAGTTGAAGTCACTGTACGAGCACAACATGGTCACCTTCTTCGGAGCTGGTCTGCAATCCCTATGTCCCAAGCAATTTTGAACAGTCATGTCTATGGCGTCATTGCACAACGCGACATTTGTCTTCGTTGTATGGTAGGGCGTTTTGAACTGACCAGTTCGACATCGTGTTAAGATTGCACTGGAACCGTTCGTGGTCGTCCGGTCCTCTGCTCATTTGCCATAGGTTGATATCATCAGAGAAAAAGAGGAAATCGGAAACAAATGATCTCGCCAAATCGCTAATGAACACTAAGAATGGACAAGGTCCAAGCAGCGAGTCTTGTGGTACACCACATTCCACATCAATTGTAACGGACAGAGATTCCCGGACTCTCATCTCCAACCGACGTTCCTGTAGAAAATTGCTAATCCAACTCAGGATTGGCTAGCCAAGGCCGTAGTTCCGAAGCTTCTGAAGAAGAATTCGTTAGTCTAAACGATAAAACGCTTTTGAGAAGTCCAGGCAGGTGACATCCCCGACTGCTCCATCATCAACGGCTTCAGTCTAGGTATTACGTGCAATTAATAGGTTAGTAGTACGTGAACGCTTTTGACTGAAGCCATGTTGCTCTGGGGCTATTAAGTTGTGGCTTTCCAGATATGAATTAGCGCATCTGCGATGACTGATTCCATAATTTTGCATGGTACAGAAAGCAGTGCTATTGGATTTCATTTGGTAGTGT